TGTAGACAATTGGACATACCCTTACAGGAGGGTCATAAGGAAGAGATACACAAGTTGGGGTACATTATAGTACCGATGAAACATACAACTTTCCTCTAGTTCTATAATGCTTCCTCCCCACCCACCCCACCCCCACTATCATGACCCCAATTCTACCTTACAAATCCAGCTAAACCAGAGGATGTGCACTGGTACAGATAAGAGCTGGAAACAGGGAATTCAGGACAGATAAGCTGCTCAGTATCAATAATGAGAGTAGGGATAACAGGAGGGTAAGGGGAAGGTGGGGTTAGAAATGGGGGACCGATCACAATGATCGACGTATAACCCCCTCCCACGAGGATGGACAACAGAACAATGGGTGAGGGGAAACATCGATCAGTGTAAGACATGAAAAAATAATTTATAAATTATCAAGGGTACATGAGGGAGGAAAGATGTGGGACAGAGGAAAAAAATTGAGCTGATACTGAGGGCTCAAGTAAAAAGAAAATGTTTTGAGAATTATGATGGCAACAAATGTGCTTAACATAATGGATGGATGGATGAATTGTGATAAGAGCTGTTTGAGACCCCAATAAAATGTTTTTTTTTAATTGGGGTTATAATCTATCCAAGTGAAAATAAAGTTGCTTACTGTGAAAGAAGAAGGCACAAATGTATGTTGGGAGGCAATTAGTAGTCCCTGCCGCATATGCATAGGCACACACACACAAATATAAAATAAAACTATATTGAGTAATATTTTTTCTCTATGAGATTGACCACACAAAAAAGAGAAAAATATCAAAAAGACTTGAAGAAATAGATGCATTTTTTCACATTGTTAAGAAGAGTCTAAATTTACGAACTCACTATGGATTACAATTAGGCAGTATCTACTATCAAAAAAATTTTTTTCATCTCCAAATTATTTATCCTGCCTATCTTATCTAGATAGACATGCAGCGACATTCGTAAGTGCAAAAACCAGGCAAAGCCAAACAAAACAACAAAGGAAGTCAAAACCAAAAGCAATAACAACTAAAAAACCAAAAACAAAATTACAACAAAAAATAAAGCCAATGACAAAAATGGAAAAGCCTATAAGTAGTTCAAGATCGGTCCTTGGCCTCTACAAGTGACTTCCAGTCAAGATGTTTTCCCAGACCATGGGCTCTCTTATTACTCTCTTGGTGAATTCTTCTGATGTACCCAGGTGTTTTATCTTCAGTATATCCCACTTGTCAATTTGTGACTCCTCTGTATTTGTATCCTTCCCTATTTCTGTTAGCCTATGTATTCCCTGTGCCAAGGTTCTCAGGGATTGTCCCAATTACCTCATTAATGGCCCTAATAGTTTGGGGTTTTACCTCGGGGTCTATGAACCTCCTTGAGTTTATTCTTGTGCATAGATATCATTTCTTTACAGCACCACTTATTGAAGAGGGCATGTGCTTCCTTCTACTATCAAATTATATGTATCCATTGATCTGATTTTATTCTTATATACAAAGCTATCAAACCAACTCATAGCAATCCTTGTACAACACAATGAAACACTGCCTGATACTATGCTATCATCACATTGATATGTTTTAGTCCATTATATATACATATATGAGGGTGTTTCAAGAAGTTTATGGAAATATGGAATTATATGTGTGTGTGAATTCACACACACACACGGAGGCTTCAGAAGGTTTGTGGGAGAATAGAGTAGAAAGATAATGAAACTTTTCCATGAACTTGTTAAAGCCCCGCTGTCGTATGCACTTGTATATATAAGAATAAGCCAAAAAGAAGTGCTGCAAAACTAGAAACCTTTATTAAACAAAAATATTATGAGTTGGAGCAGTGGCACACAACATGCCAGGCTAAGGCCTATAGCTCTTCATTCTCACAACTCTTATTGTCATGCTCCTTTGTTCTGTTTTGAGTATTTGTATGTGTGTGCGTGCTATGTGTCTTCTCTTGCTGGACTATATACTCCGTGAGATGACAGACAGGGCTCACATTGTAACCACAGTGCCTGGTACATAGCACATACCTATAACAAATATTCGAATGAGTGAATGTGAGTTGAAAAACTAATGTGAAATACTCTGAGGAAACATTCAATACATGCTAGCTATTATTTTGATTGAGGTCTTTGAGTAGCTCAAACGGTCAACACACACAGCTACTAACTGCAAGTTCAGAGTTTCCAATCCATCCTGAGGGACTGCAGGAGAAAAGCCTGGTGGGGTATGTCAAGAAAATCAGCTGTGGAGGATGTATGTATGGATCATGATAAGAGCCCTCAATAAAATGATTTTTTAAAAATAAATTGAAACACACACAAAATCGGCCATCGAAAACCCTGTGCAATACAGTTCTCATCAGAAACGTAAGGTCCCCAGGAGCTGAAGCTGATTCCATGGCAACAGGGATTTTATTGTTTTTGTCTATTTTGATTACTCTCAACCACAAGAACCAAATTAACTCTTTATCATTTATTTACCAAACATAATGTCTTCTTCCAGGCCTTCTCAGAAAACTCTTCTTGTCCAAGGTGTACTCCACCGTGTCATTTGAGTGGGAAACTTACAAATACGCCAGCCTGCCCTCCAACCCCCGTTGGAGAATCTCAAGCTGTACTTCCTCCCACATTGACCCAACCAGCCAACCATCTTCCTCCTCCTCCACCACCGCCTTCACCTCCTCCTCCTCCTCCTCTCCCTCCTCC